AACAAGACAAGGAGAAGCCGGGGAGGGGACGGCGGGGGGGGGGTGTCTCTCTTTGATAGAGAGGGGGAGGGAGGGAGGGGACAGCCCGGGCCAAGCCGGAGGAGAAAAGCGAGGGGGGGGGCCGCGCCCAGAGAAGATCCGGGAAGAACTTCAGAGGCGGAGAAACGGGAACCTCCGACACCCTCCCGCAGCATCCCGCGTTCCTGGCGGTCCCCCCCCGCCCCCCCCAAATCACTAATAGATTTCCCTGCGTGGTGGAAGAAGGGCCGCTCTCCTCCTCCTCCTCCTCCTGCTCCCCCTTCCCTCTCCTCCCCCTCGCCGTCTTCTTCCTCGTCTCCCCCAGAAAACGTTCCCGTTCCTCTGAACCTTTTAAAGTGCTGTTGCTCCAATTACAGAGAGACGTTGAGCGGCAAATAGACTGATCCAATAATAGGAGATTCATCATCCCTTCTTTCCAGGCCTGTCACGATGAATTTAAAACTACAAGCCTTTTCATCTCCTCTCGGGCTTCTCTCTCTCTCTCTCTCTCTCTCTCTCTTCCCCCAACCCCTCCTCTCTCTCTCAACGAAGAGGAAGAGGAAGGAGAAGGGGTGCGAACTGGAAAAGCTACAAAAATGCGGGGCAGCTGGAGCAGAAAGAAGGGCTGCGCATGGGGGGGGTTGCCTCTCTCTCTCTCTCTCTCTCTCTCTCTCTCTGTATATATATTATATATATAAAATAATATATATATATATTATATATATATAATATCAGCGCCATCGGATCGTATCAATCAAAATAATAATTAAAGGTTTCTCCCCCACGCATCTCTGGAGAAAATAAAATCACACACGTACTAAATTATGAATGGGCCAGAGGGTGCCTAATTAAGAAACAAACCGGCGGTTTGGCAAAAGAGCATGCCTCATATTTCTCTCTCTCTCTCTCTTTGTGTGTGTGTGTGTGTGAGAGAGAGAGAGAGAGAGAGAGAGAGAGATGCACACAGAAAGACCCGCGCGTATCCTAAGGTTCCGCTCCGCAGTCAAAGCCGCGCAAACCCCTCTCTAAAGCGTCCCCATGACACACGCACATTTTACCCAGAGAATAATAATCTGACACCAGGCAGGTATGTCTGAACTCAACAAGCAGAGCAGCGCAGGCCCAGAAGCCAAGCTAAGTTCCCTGGGCCGAAAGAAAAATCCCGCAAGAAAGAAAGGGGGGGGGAATCCTTTTCACGTGTCTCGGAGGAAAAGGAAGCCGGCCGGATCCCAGGCCCTGCGGGAGGAGGCCGAAGAAGACCGGGGCTAAGGCAGAGCCGGGGGGGGGGGCGGGCGGCGGGGGCTTCCTTGGGGAGAACCAGTCCTACGGAAACCTGACCCCTGTCCCACAAGTCAGAGGATGGCCAGGGTAGCCGGGTCAGTCTGGAGCCAGCCAGCGGCTCCTGCAAACGCCGAAGCGCCCTGGCGGCCCAGATCTGCCAGCGGGCCCCTTCCTGGTGAGGAAGCGCTACCTTACAAGCCCGAGGCTTGGGGGAGAGGGGAAAGTTTATGGGGATCCCTTCCTCTGGGCGCGGGTCCCTCTGCTTTGGGTACCGTTGGTGGCCGGCCTGAGAATCGAACCCATAGCCTATCCAGGGCGACTCCGAAGGCGCCGCTTTTGCTGGGGGAGCTTCGGCCTCGACTCCAGGGAGGGCAGCTTCTTCGGGGTCCCCCTCTCCCCAAGTCTTCCTGCGCCAACCAGGGCGAGTGGTCTCCGGTTGCTGATCCAGGTAACTCCGTGCGTAAAAAGTTTAGCCGTCCTTCTTCCCGGGGCGCCGGTTGCCCACAAGAGGAATGCCAGCGGATGAGGTCTCCCCCTTTCTCTCTCTCTCTCTCTCACACACACACACCAAGCCCTGCAAGCCGAAGGGTCATGCCCTTCGAGACGGACGTCTGGCCAGAAGCTCTACGAAGCTGTTCTGGAGAGAACAAGGGAAAGGCGGCTGGCCCTTTCCTTTCCTCGCCCCCGAGGCCAGCAGGACTTACTCGCCAGTCGGCCGCGTGCAAAAGAGCTGCTTCTCACCCACCCACCCCCGGAGTAAAAGGCAACTCTCCCCGCACCTCAATTCCCCCACAAACAGAGGAAACGAGGTTCGCTTCTCCCTCCCCAATAAACTGCGCGCGCGGCGCAGTTTGGGCTCGCCAACCTCAGCCGTCCAGAGTTTAGCTGTTCCCTCCTCCTATCTTCTGGGGGGTCTTTCTCGAGGTGAAGCCCGCCGGATGCGTCTCACCCTCTCCGGCTAAGTTTAGGATCTGCCGTCCTTCTTTCAAAAGCGGCCGCGTCCAAAATCTGGTGCTTTTCCTTAGCCAAAAAGCTAGAAATGGAGAGGTGCAAATTGTGCCTAAAACGCGCGTCTCTTCTCCAGATATAATCCCAAACCCTCTAACCTGTCTGAGCCTTTTTCATGTTAATAATAACAAGACTATATCTGCTTTCTAAGGGACGCTTTCTTTTAAAATAGCAAGAAGAGGAAAATCTGAAGACAACGCACCCGTCCCTTTTTATTTATTTTTCAAAACTTCCTGTCTCTTTTCAAACTTCAGATCCCGATGGCATTTGCGCAATTTTCAAAGACAACCCGAATCGCCACTAGGGAAACGTATTTTTACGGGACGCTTTGCCCCAAATATCATGAATCCAGGTGGATAGCGCACTCAGGGTCAAAAAGAGAGGTATTGGAGCGGTTGCGCGGATCAGACCGGCAGATTTCAATTCGGATTAAAGAGCGGAACGAACGAAAAACCTAATCCGAATTGTCCTTGGATTCCCTGTGCCATTGAATATTCCACGAGGAGCCGAAGGTTTTCTCTCTTCCTTTTCGGCCCTAATTGAAAGCTTAATAATAATAAAATAAAATAAAATAAAATATAAAATATAAAATAAAATAAAATAAAATAAAATAATAAAAATAAAAATAAAATAAAATAAAATAAAAGCAATTTAGGGGCCGGCACTTTCCCGCAGCCCCGCCCCAAGGGAGGGGAAGAAAAAGATAGGTGGTTACTAATTCCGGGGTGAGAGGCCAAGGGTTCCCCTTTTCAACATAATTTAATTTCTTTCTCTATAAATACTAAATGTAAACTGTAGCCACTGAAGCAAGTTTTCGCCTGTAGCAATAAAACCTTCGTTTTCTGTCGGATTTCAGGACGAGGAATGCCAAAGGAACGTGGGTTTGAATACAAAGCGGTAATCAATCCTGCCCACGAATAAAAGAGGGGTGGGCTTTCCCCCCTCCCCTCTTCCCCCCTCCCTCTTGCTCGCTTCTGCCTCTCTTTTATTATAATGAATTAATTCGACTTTATTTATCCCATTTTCTGGAGCTGACAGAATGTTAATTTGAGTTGAAATTTCTCTCGCCTCTCACTCTCTGACCTTTGGCCCCAGGCTGGCGTGTTGTAATAACCTGAATCTTTCAACAGAAGCCCTGATAATTGTTACCTTATTAGCATGCAAATTGTTTAATTAATATTATTATGGAGAAGCATACAATCCGTCCGTCACTTGACCTCGAGAGCAAGTCCACGTAGCAACCAGCTCCACGCATTTCAATGGACACATTTCAAAATCAACTTTGCAATTATATATATATATGTGTGTGTGTGTGTGTGTGTGTGTGTACTCTCTTTCTCTCTCTCTCTCTCACACACACAAACTCTTTCTCATATACACACACACATTCTCTCTCTCTCTCTCTCTCTCTCTCTCTCACACACACACACACACACATATGAATCTTTTTCCTTCTCTTTTCTTTCTCGGCTCCTTGTTGAAGTTCAAATAATAATGACGAAGGCGATAATAATAATAATCTCTTAAAATGCTTGAGAAGAATCTTTCGGGGAGGGGGAGAGAGAGAGAGAGAGAGAGAGAGAAGGGGGGGCACCCTTTGATCCCACTCTTTCTTGATATCTTTTCATACCGCCACTCCATCTTCAAACAGAAAAAGAAAAAGAAAGAAAGAAAAAA